GCAATATTGTCTAAGGTATATTATCAATGACTGGAATCTGAACAATGAAAGTATAGATAAAGAGACAAACACAGTTCTTTGTGACCTCACACAAATCAAAATCCCAGTCCTATCTGCAAGCCTGCCATACATGCTTGTATCCACATGGCTCCCAACAGTGAGCTCTGACTCCACTGGGTAAAGATGTTCTTATGAATATTATCTGTGTTCTACAAGTTCTGGTTGGCACTGGATTTAGAACGTCTGTGACACTGACTCTGTGTGAACCCCCCCACCCCACGTCACTCACATGGTGTTTCTGATCTAACACCCATAAAAACTGTTCTAACAATGACAATGTAATGATGAATCCAGCCATCACAAAGCTGGACCCAGAAATGGTCATTAGTACTATATTTGCATACATTATATGGAGAGTAAGAGAGTTTTATTTCAACAAGGTTTTATTTACCAACTAATTAGAATAGCAATTTATTACAAGTATCAAAATAACAAACTAAGAATTATTAGGGGCGTGGAGCTCTTCTGGCTATAAAGAGAAGACAAAAGCATTTCCTCTTGCTCCATGGGCCTCAGAACAGATCCGTGTGTCAGTCATTGCTATTAATTTCACATTTCACTTGCTCTTTGTTTTCCTAGACATATGAACTCTAGTGCTGCTGATTTTATAAAGGCTTTTAAAAGATAAATCTGCTATGTATGAGAAGCAGGTGTTTAAATAAGCATTTGATCCCAACAGCTTTGCTCTCAGCATGTTCTGTCGCAGCAGCTGGGAGAGCCCTCTACTATCAAGTAGTCTTTCTGTGTTGTGCTTCCCTTGTGCTCCTATCAAAGCAAGAGTGTTCTTGTAACACATGCTACCTGCACATTCTTCCTATGTTCAATAAACGTGAGCCTTTACCAAACAACAACAAAATCTTGCTTCTCCAGTATTTGGAAGTGTGGGGGGTTCTTAATACAATTTCTGTCACTAATTGTTAGTCAGTGTTGTGTCAGTATTATATATTTCAAATCTTAGTGAACTAAATAAGAAAATAAAGCTTAATTCCTAATATTAGATGAAGAAAAAGTGGAACACAACAAAGTCATTTAACTTTAAGATACAATGTTCAGGAAGAACAGTCACCTAACTATGCATTGGCACCTCAAGTATTTTCAAAGAGAACTCTGCTATATTTTTGCATTAAAAAATAAAATCTTCTGTCTTGAGATAAAAGGGCCACAAACCTCTAAAACTTAATCCCTGCTTCAGGCCAATGACATAAAAATATTTTTCATTTTTAGTTTGCATCCTGAAAAACAATTCTCTTGACAGAAAATGTTCTGAACTAGATTTTGAGAGGCAAATTTAAGTTTTTTTTCAAATGACAGGGAGTGAAGAGAAGTAAATAAGACAGAGGAATAAAGAGATGTAAACAAAACACATAAACAAAAACATCAAAGTCCACCTAAAATAGATCAACTCCAAATGCTGAAAGCCTTTCTAGTATGTGCAGCAACTTCCAACTTGAAATTGATCCTCCAACAGTTGAATAAAGGACACCTTATCAGGTGAATCTCGACTAAAACTGTCTTGTCTACCTCTCATCGTGTCCCTTAACTGCTACTGGCTTCTGCACTGCAAATAAACGATTTATTCATCACAGTGTGACAGAGTTACTTATGATTGATTGGTGCAAAATAGAAAGAGACTTTGTCCTCATCCAAAGCTGACAACAGGGCTTGTCCAGTGTGTGCTGTCTGTCCATCTGCAGCATCCAGGGTGCCCATGTGCTAAGGGACTCAATAGACTGTTCACAGAGAGCTCCCACTGCACAGCAAGGAAACAACTCCAGCCTGCTGTGTTTCCTGTGTTCTAATGCATTAGAATACAATGACCTCAACCTTCTTCTATGCTTTTAAAATCTCATCATGGTTTTACAAGTTCAAGAAAAGACAGACAGGCAGGCAGGCAAAGGCTCTTTCACAGAAGAAAACATACTGTGGACAAACAAGGTGAAGGTGGCCATGTCTGGCCGTACAGCTCTCAAAGCTTTCCCTTTCTCCGTACCTCGCTCCCTGTCGACAGTAAGGTCAGAGAAGAGAGAAAGGAATCTTCACTAGAACCATGCCCATAGCCTATGATTTTATTGCTATTTTTCCTCTAGCCAAATGGCCCCATCAATCAACAGGAGAATCTGAAGCAACCTATACATTCCAAAATAGTCCCCAGTGGAGAGGCAAGACTTGGAAATCGTATTCTGAACTATACATTCTAACACAGCCCCCGGTGGAGAGGTGAGATTTAAAAATTGCTTCTTGAAGGACGTAGGGTAGCATTAAAGAAGCAGGGTGGTGTGCCAGACCGCGGGTACAGTGTGTGGACTATTTGGGTTAGTGGTACTTTGCTCATAACTAAATGCACAGCCAAGCTAATGAATTGACTTAATGAATACACACTCATGTACAAACTACCTTCCTCTGCAGCCACTGTCTTACTCCAGAGTAATCAAATTCAGTCCGAGACATATTTATACCCTGACAATTTCAGCTAATTTTCCTTCCAAGAGTTATCTGACTACAAATATGTAAAAGGAGAAGAGATTAACAACTGGAGAACTGAGTTCAGCTTTAACAGAGCAGCTGCCTGCTGCTGTGTCTTTTGCTTTGCAGAACCTGCTCCTCACACACAGTCCCAGGCAGCTCACATGCCAGGGCCCTGCAGTGCTCTCCACACAGCGCTCACAGCACCGTCCCTCTGATGACGCGAACAGTGACTTTAATCTTGACTTACATACTTTATTTCATTTTGAATAATGGAAACACCAAACTCTCAGTCCTCCTAGGTTCAGCTCACATCATTCTTGATTCTATCACTGAATAGTCACATACACATTCCACACGACAGAAGGACAGCCGTGTCAGGGCAGTGAATTCTGTAGAGGTACCATGGAGTGGAAAGGGTACAAAGAGAGCACTCCCTAGGCCGTTAGTGTTGCACTCTAAAGCCAATCATGAGCAAGAGTGACTGAGAGTGGAAAGGAGTGTCTGCAGGAATTCACACAGCACGTTAATGTTATATAATAGCTACGAGACCTAAGATCTGGGTGCACAAACAGACCAGAGTAAGACAGAATCAAGCCAGAACTGAATCCAATCAGTTGTATTTATAGTGTATATAAAATAAACTGCAATTCCCTGGCAGAACTGATGTCATCTGAACCGATGACAAGCACAGGAGTCAGCTCTCTCCTTCCACCACATAGGTCTCAGGGAGTGAACTCAGGTCACCCGGCTTGACAGGAAACAGTTTTATGCGATGTGCCATCACACTGGCCCCCAAAGGCAAGTGTTTTAAATTTGCTGTTTTTTCAAAACCAAGAGTATACAACACTTAAAAAGAAAAAAACCACTGTGACAAGGTACGACTTTCTTTCAAACTAAGACCTCAGCACTCTTACTTTTCTGAGCGTGTGGCATTAAACAAATTCAGCCGCAACTATAAAGGCTCCAACAGTAATACTCACCACTTTCAGACACATCCCGCCCCGCCTAGCCTAGCCCAGCACTGACTGCACAGCTCTGACACACTTTCTAACACTAGAGAAAATATCCTCTCTAGGAGTCAAGGCAGATAACTGGGGAGAGTACACGATGCTGCTCATTCCGTCCTCCCCAAGTGGAGAACTTGCTCCCAACCAACACTGTCATCAGGAGAAGTGGTAGGCAGCAGTCACTGTCATATGTCTGCATTGGATTTAAAGCTCTGGAGACACACGGAGGAATGGAAAGCCCCAAATGATCACTGTCGAGAGACACTTTATAATTGAAAAAAAAATGGAAAAAAGATTAAAATCAAGGTAAGTACTTTTCCCTGGCAGAACTGGAATGAACAAAACGGAGTCAATAACCTGAACACTTATCTCCCTGTGTGTTCATAGGAGCTGGGGGTAAGCTACAAGAAAGAACACATACTGGTCAGAAAAGACAGATTGGCATGAAGAATCCTGGAATATAGTATCTTCTCCTTTCTCTTCCTTCAGAAAGCACACAAGGACCTCTTAAGTAACAAGATAAAACTTATTCTGTAGACATACATAAACCATCTCTTGATGTCAGCATGTGGACTATTCTGAACCTTTTGTTTACATGGGGATCTGCTACGCAGGTGCCACTCGGGGTGGACGCTAAGATGCCATGGTCAAGTGTAGGTGGCACATCGACTCTTGTCACTTGTCCTGAAGACCCTTCTGTGCCAATGTCTGGAAGACAAGCATGCAGTGCATAGTCATAAGGGAAAGTGAATTCTTATGTGCGATGATCAAGCCCAGGGCCTTGCCCACGCTAGGTGAGGGTGCAACAATCCAGCTACACATCCAGTCCAAACTCATTTCTTAAAGGGAACTCATGAAATTTACTTAAATTTAACACAGCAATAATTCTTAGGATTTCTGACTCAGGTTTTCCAAAGTTCTTATCGAAAATATGAATCAAATTATAATTGTAACAGTTTGCAGAAAATAAATATAATGCAAAGGGCAGTGCATCAAATTAAAATTGTAGTTAGCATTCCCTATGCATGTCTGTATTTAGATACATTATAGCAAATACTGTGCTCATTTGTAAGTTAGTTAGACAGTGCTTGCACACAACCTGAAAATGTCTAAAAGGTCTGCGATCATGGGAGTCTATGGTATAAAGGGCAGGGTTAGATGTCGTAAGGGCTAGGCAGTTTCCAACACAGCTGTCCTCTAGCAGGACTGTCTCTGTCAAAGGATGGAGGTCTGAATGTGTTAGCCCTCAGCAAGAAGTTGTCCTGTTCTCTGGCGACAAGCTTATGGAGCTGGCTGTCCAGGAGCTCAGAACACCTCATGGTTTACACCCCAACTTGTCTTTCACTTGCTTGCTCTAGGGTTTGCGGAGGTCAAAGCCCTAGTTCCCGGGAATGCATGTCAGCAAGTCCTGCTTCACAGCAGATAAGACAGGGCTGGAGAGCAGGAGAACGAGCAGGGTGGACTTACCGACTCCAGAAACTCTATTTCTGTCTGGAGTGCTTTGCACTTGCTTTCCATCTCATCTTCGCTGTAGAGATCCAGCTCCTGTTTCAGTCTGTTTGAAAGGAGAATCACTCTCTTAGTTTGATACTACACCTTTACAATAATCTTATTACATACAGAGTGGCAGGTATGTAGCCTCAGAAATATCACAGAGTAGCAGAGTCAGGTTAAAAACAGGAATATTAGCCGGGCGGTGGTGGCGCACGCCTTTAATCCCAGCACTCGGGAGGCAGAGGCAGGCGGATCTGTGTGAGTTCGAGACCAGCCTGGTCTACAAGAGCTAGTTCCAGGACAGGCTCCAAAACCACAGAGAAACCCTGTCTCGAAAAACCAAAAAAAAAAAAAAAAAAAAAAAAAAAACAGGAATATTTAGGGAAGTTAACCCTCTTGGATTCTATACAAACTATATAAAAATTGTAGAGAAAACCTCTCATAAAGAAAGGTAGACAATAAAGCAGAGATGAATCTCAGCAATGTAGAAAGTCAGTGTGGGTTAATGACAAGTGCAGAACCAGCTCTCTGCCGAGACGCTGAATGCACAGAGAGTCATTTGACTTCTCTGATCCTGACTCAAAACTTAAGTTAAAACATTACTTGTGCCAGCTGCTTTTACTTAAAATTAAAGATAATATACAATACTTATATAATTAAATTTATCAGACTGAGAATTAAATATCAGTGTTTATTTTACCAACTGTGTTTTTAAATCTTGGAATAATTTATTAAATAAAAAGGTTACTTTTTGTCTGAATTCAGTGTGGAATGTAGGGAAGAAGTTCTCTTTCATCTCAAGTATAATGGCTAATATTTTTATCCCCTCCCCAACAAAGAGAAACATCACCAAAGCCCTGAGCTGTGAGAGGTAGGACTCCAGAGCCTGACCATGACTGGCTCTGTATGAAACAGCCCTGAGGGCAAACACTACAAGCAAGTATGTTCTCATAAAGCTAAGCAACTCGACAGCAAGAGGACACCCTCAAAGAGAAGGGACTTAGATCAGAGCCACAGAAACTCTCTTTGAGGGGTGCCTTAACATATTTAGACCCATTGACCTTTGCCAGATGGAGATTACATAACAAGCTTGCAGTAAAAAAAAAAAAAAATCACCAAGCATACTAGTAAGATAATCCAGTATAAGTCACCAGAGACAAGAAGCCAATTATACCCACAACCTTGAAAGAACTACACATTTACAAGGAAAACACACACAAAATAAGCATAAAAAACCTCTGTCTCGAAAAACCAAAAAAAAAAAAAACAAAAACAAAAACCTCTGACTCTAACAAGCTATTTATAAAAGCTATCCAGTGTGTAATAAAGATATGGAATAGTGCCAACCGTGTCAAAGAGTAGGGACACACCAAGGAAAACACAAGGGGCAGCCAGGAAAGAAGGCTATAGGCCATGGCACACAGGAGAGCAGAGGCAGGCAGAGCTCAGTGTGCCAGGCCACCAGAGCTACACAGGAAGTAAGATCAATAAGGAGAGGGAAAGAGAGGAGGAGAGGAGATGGGGGAAAGAAACTGGAACTTCAGTGCCCTAGTACAGAATAGTTCATTCCTTTTTGTGTGTGTGTGTGTGTGTGTGTGTGTGTGTGTGTGTGATTTTAACCCATATCTTTATACTTAAGGTTTTTTAGGTTTGGGGTAGGAAACATATATATGCATATTACTCTTTAATATGAAAATCTCTTATTTTTTAGTTCACATGTTACCACTATTTACATTGAATGCAGTTGCTTATATGGTGGGATTCAAAATGCAGATTTTTTTCTGTAGGTTCCTCATTCCTTCCCCTTCCTTTCAGTCTATAATGGAGTTGCTTATTATCTCCTATATAGACATTTTCTTATTAGACCTACTTTAAAAAATTAATATAGCTTACACTTATATTTGTAACATATATTCAACACTGTACAATACATACAACTGTACTTACAGGGAAAAATGTTACAGCAATATATTTTCAATTTTCCCCTCAAATTTTTATTCTATTATCATCACAATTTCCCATTTATTATAAATCTAAAATATAGTGCTAGTATTTTCCTTTGCTGTTTATCTTGTGAAGTGACTTACAACCACAGGGAGCTTTTGTATTTACCTTTGCCCAATTGTTTCTAGAGTAACTCTACTTCCCATTTGGAATCACACCCTTCCTCCTGAAATATGTGTATCATCTTGGTTTTCAGTGCGGTTTTCAATAGCAAGGGTCCAATCAGCTCATGTTCACCTAAAACTATACTTATACTTTAAGTGTGAGATCTCGTTACTGTCTTCTGGTTACAACATTTCAGATAAGAGGTTTTATTCCTTTCTTCTCTCCTTTTAGCTAATGTGCCTTTTTGTCTTTCCTTCCTCTGCTTTCCTACATGTTTTCTCTTTATCTGTGTCTCAGAGGTTTAAGTATCTGTAGAGAAATTGCATTTTTTGGTGTTGTCTGAGCTTTTTGTATTATGTTTTTAAAGTATTTTTGTTTTTTTTTTTGGAAAATGTTCTGCTATGACTCTCACATATGCAACTCTATAGGTGGATCTCAAGTATGCCAGGTTTAATTGTTAAAATGGACTCCAAAGGCTGTGTGGTGTATCATCCTGTTTACACAATGTGTGGGAAACAATAACTGGAGTCATTCAGAGGGTCATCAGTTTGACTAAAGAAATTTTCTTAAAGAACAGGAGCCCCCTCCCACCTTTTCTTTCATCAGGAGCTTCCTCAGAGCACAACCCAGATCCAGGACCCACCAGAGTCCAGGCCCTTCCAAGAACTCCTTCCGAGTTTCTTAGCAAATGCCTGTTCTCTCACGCCGGGGCTCTAAACCCTCAACTTGGCAATCCAAGTCCTGAAAATCCTTATGATTTCTCAGCTCTGTTATGCACACTAAGCGTTGAAACCCTGCTGATAGGCATCCAGGTGCTGGGCCTTTCTGAGCTCTTTGGAATCCCAGTTTTCACCAGGAAGTCCTCAGGATTTCAAGGCAGATCAGAATTCCCCAGTGGCTGTCTGAATTCCCAATTAACCAAAGGGCTGTGCGATGTCTCCTTTTGCCCTGAACGGGGGTGCTTAGATTTTGCCAAATCCTCCATATTCCCAAATTAGGATCCCAAATAAATAGACTTTATTATCATCAATAATGATGAAGATGACTTTTTCTCAAATAGGAAGTCATAAAAATGTTAATAATTCTGAGTTAAACCCACTAAATGTGAACACAATAAAAACAAACATGTTTTTCCCTCTTAGTATGATGCAGATTGATCTTTAGGTTCATTTAAAAAACATATAAAAATTCAAAATCCTCTTAAATTTAGAAAAACAAATGCCAACCGATAAATCCTCCTGCTAACCTCTGACAACTAAACAGTGCAGCATTGCTCACCAGTGGAGCAGGGGACACAGACAGACAGGAACTAAAAGCAAACGGACAGCTAGTGTGTGATGAAGGCAGCACCTCAGTTCCCCGGGGGAAGAAGATGGCTTTTCGATAAATCATGTTGTTACAATGGGACAACAACCTGCAAATGGATGCAAAACTAAATGGATCTCAAAGGCAAAACTGGATCTATATTTTACAGCATAGCACTCTAGATAGATCAAATATTTATATGTTAAAAGGCACACAAGACAAGGCAAGAGCACAGGTAAACTGCTGCATCTGATAGGTGTGGGTAGAGCTTTAACTACAGTTCAAATACAAATGTGATTTAATTTAAAAGAAAAAAAAATTACACTGTGTTAAAAGTTTTCTATAGACCACATGTATAAAAACTAACAGGAAATGATAGTCTAGAAGAAGTATCTACTATAGACATCACAGATAAAGGCCAGAAAAAGACATTTTCCAACGAAGGTAACATCAGCACTCAACAGGAATGGGGTGAGCTAAAGAGGCAGTTCATAGAATGACACATGGACGGTTCTCAGAGGTATAGAGTGTTCCACTGCACTGGTGACAGAACTTGCAGATGTTTGACCCAAGGACCCTGGCCCTCTTCTATTGGATGGAGCTTCACTACTTGACTGCAAATACTTTTCGGGAGGCAAAGAAGAAATAAATGTGCTTAAGTGTTAGCTGAGATAGATTCAAAATATTGCAACCTCAATTGGGGAGAATGAAACACAACTAATTTGTCTATTTCCTTGAGCCCTGCCTTTTTACACTAGTAATATAAAGTACAAGACAACATAAACACAAACATGATATGTAAATCAAACTATTAAAAAACAATCTTTCTGTCCATTCATATGGAATTGGTTAAAGAAACCATAACATATTCATTACAACTATTATTCAACCATAAGAATGAAGACCATTTCTTTCAACAAATGAGTTGATTCTAGCATGCACTATTAAATAATAAGCAGTACAATGCAAAAGATTACATAAACTGTGTTGCGTTTATCTATTTAATTCTTCAAAAGAAACACAGAAGGATAAGCGAGATGCTAATGAAAATGGTTAAGCGTTTCAGTAAGCAAGTATCTAAGAAATGGATGGAAAGATGAGAATGAAGGAGAGAGATCCCTCTATCTGTCTCTCTTCAAATAACTTTCCAGTCATCCTGATGCTTTCAATCCATCTGGTAAGGTTCAACCAACACAGCTAAGGGGGTGAGCCGTTAGTGCTTGACATAAAATAACACTTGAATTAGAGGCTGGGGATGTGATTTGGTAGTAGAACACTTGCTTGGTACAAGCAGGACCCTTGTTTCTATCCTAAGCAATCCTGGGAACATAAGCAAGACCCAAAACAGACTAATAAAGCAAAGAAACTAATTCAAGACATGACAAGAAGTTCAGTAGAGACAAATATTCTGAAGAAAAAATATGGAAGGGAAAACCTCAATAAATCAAACAAAAAATTCAAATGTGTATACCTTTAATCCCATCACTTGAGAGCAGAGACAGGTGGATTTCCAGGCATTTGAGGTCAGTCTACTCTTCATGTGAGTTCCAGGCCAGCCAGACCTACATGCTGAGTGCAGGCTGTTCTCACGGCAGATGATCCTGGGCTGTACAAGGAGGCTAGCTGAGCATGAGCCCTGAGGAAGCC